AGAAGAAGAGCTGCAAGGAAAGAAATTCTTCTGTGGAGACAAGATTGGGTTTGTGGATCTTGCATTGGGTTGGCTTGCTTACTTGCTCCCTGTTTATGAAGAGATAACCAGCATCAAAACTGTCGATGAGCAGAGATTTCCTCGGTTATCACGTTGGTTGCAAGAGTTTTCAGGAACTCCAGTTATTAAAGAAAGCTTCCCACCTCATGATAAATTAATAACCAAGTTCCGCATCCTCCAGGAGAATCTCATCTCGGCTGCAGCTGCATCCAAATGATTCAATCTCTCAACTGTTCCAATGCAAATGCTTGTCCTACTGCAAGCATTCTCAAAATAAGCAAGCATAAAGAGTGAACAGATCTCCAATCTATTTGTTTCTTATTTGAACTCCAGATTTCATTTTTTTACAGAAATAAATGAGACAATATGGAACCCTAAACAGACCTAAAACAGTAAAATTCCAGAGTCAAGTGAGATTCATGTGTTGCTTATATACGGCACGTGGGAAAATCTGATACAACAACTATATAGAAGGGATATTGTTTTCTTCTTCCTTCCTTTTTTTCTTTCTTTCTTTCTTTCCTTCTTTCTTTCTTTCTGCTATAAGGAATGCATGAAAAGGAAAAGCACCTATGTTAGAGGCACAAACACATACACATAATAAGAATAGGGTAAGCAATAGTTAAGACACAAAAAATAGAATACGAGCAGGCAAAGGGATATGGTATTTATCAGCTGTACCAGTAAAACTTGACTTATCCCCAGTCTTCTTCCCCAAGGTTAAAGTCTAGATACTGCTGTCAAAAGCCACCTTCAATCAACAAGATTCATTAACAAGATTTTTGGCAACTTCCGGCTTAGGACAAGATTTATCTAGAGAAGCTATTTTTTAATATCTCTATCAAGCATCTTTTCCTCATTACCGGGAAAGAGTGTCTTGTTGCTCATAAGCCAAAGTCTTGAGATTAAACCTAAGACAACATACAAAGAATTTAATCCACTGGCTAAGCTTAATTACCAGGAATAGTCTAGTTGATCATGAGACATTAAGCTGCACAGATGGCCTGCAAACATATAAACCCTGAATGTCCCGTATGTAGCTTTCACACACAGATAAATTGCTGACACTTAAATTACTGTTACCAGGTACATTGTTACTATCACAAGAGTTGTGTCATTATTATCAGGCATGACATTGATATCACATAATTTGTATTAACTTATCACATGTTCCAGAACTTTTGTGCAATTTCAGTAGAAAAGATTAAAGACATAAAGGAACCAAAATCACCTT